CGAGAGTCCTGCAGGAGACACGCCGGCGCGATAAATCGCTATCGCGCCACTTGTGGCGCTTTCGCATTACGCAGGGCCGTCCTGCGATCCTTGCGATCCTTGTTGTCATCACGGCCGTGCTGGTGGGTTCATCGCCTCGGAGTTTCCCAAAATTTTCTGTTGTTCGGCTTAAAGGTGCGGGCTTACGGCTGCGCCCGATCGGCTCTCTTTCCTATCTGGTTGGATAGGTTCCGGATTGAGAGTCCGCTCGCCGCTCCGTCCTTGGGACTCCCTCGCTTCGTGCGGGTGGAGTGGCCGCCCCTTTGGCCGGATTATTCCGGCCCTCCGCGCTCCTTTCCTGCAATAAGAAATATAAATTTATCGGCAGCAATGTTTGTCCGCCATATAAAATGTTTTTAATATTAGACAACTACGACCTGACGTCTCCTGTTTCCCGGGTGTCCTGGACTCCCGCTCTCGGCCGTCGCTCTTCTCTCTTCCTTTCCTTCCGCCGGATGGGATCCCGCCGCTCGATCTCGTGCCGGCAGCCAACTCGCGGGCTCATCTCGAGCTTACATTTGCGATAACTATTACTAACCAAAAGTCAGATCTCGTCGATCTGACGATTGGGCCGCTCTCTCTCTAAATAGAGAGGACGCAGGCCTCCGAAAAACCGCCCCCGATCGGGTCATTCGACCCTTGTGACGGACGTCCCAAAAACGTTACGTCACAATATATATAATTACAATTTTATAATAGCTTTACACATCACCCATGAGGTACTATTGCGATGCGTTTTTTTTTAAAGTGGTTTTTTTTTTTCCCCAGTAGGCCTATTCCACTAAAAGATATAAAAGACTAGAAAATAATTAAATATGTGGCTTGATAGGAAAACAATATTTTATATCATAAGATATAATATAAAAACGAAAAAGGAAGCAAAAAAAACCGAAATTTTTTTCATGTTATCGATTGGCAGATAGTGACCGATATTTATTAGGATTTTTCACATATAAATCGTATTCGATTGTGTCCAATCGAGACATGTTCAAACAATACTCAGTCATTATTTCTTTATTTATTGCAGGATAACATATGTATTTAACAGTTTAATCTAAAATGATAAGATATAATATAAAAACGAAAAAGGAAGCAAAAAAACCGAAAACCAATTTGGATCAAAATTTCAAAATTTTAATTTGATATTCTAGGTCGTTTGCACGATTCTACTAGAGATGATATATCCACAGAGATTTTAGATGAACTAACGCGCATCAGCGAGGATAATGATGTATCGCTTTAATCTTTATTTTGAGGAAGTAATGTTTTCGTTACGAAGAGATATCCTTAAAATAAAGAGTGGATGATATCCAAAGATTAAGAAAAATAAAAAAACAACATTATATTCCAGCCTTCATTTTGAGGAAGTCATGTTTTTGTTACGAAGACATGCCCTTAAAATAAAGAGTGGATGATATAAAAAGATTGAGAAAGATTAAAAAACCAACATCATATATTCCAGCCTTCATTTTAAGGAGGTCATGTTTTCATTACGAAAACATGCCCTTAAAAAAGATCGATGGATAACATGAAAAAATTAAAATAAGTATAAGTTAAAGAAAAAAGTTCTTAAATAAAATTTTTTGTAAACTTGATTTATAGCAAAGAGAGAAAATGTTTTTTAAAAATAAACATTTTTAAATATTCTTATAGTGAACCTGAAATTCTAGGCTTTGTTCCTCGATTTGCACAGTGAGAGGATTCTCAAAAAGTATTAAATCTTTCCGTAGCGTTTCAAAATCTCTGAAACGCGAATCAATTTGATTTATTAGAGAATCAATAATATTAATTTGTTTTTGAAAGTTACAATTTATGCCGTGTTCTTTTTGCCCGTAAAGGGGGATGTCGGGTCGCATCCACATCTGCAGCCATGTCAGATGACTTTGCTACAGTGGTGAGCACGACCCCCCATCCCCCCAGGCCTTCCTCCCTTAATATCCTGAGGATATTGTTATCCCACGCCCGTGTGATTTCTACGGGTAACCCTTCTAACGGCTACGCGTCTATCCGGGGGACCCATAGTGCCCGCCCTCCTTGCTCTTGGCTGGCCTTCTGCAGGCTGTTCTCCCCGGCGAATCCTTTCATCCGCCTCCTTCTGTGACATTATAACGCCACAAAAGGAGGCGAATGCCCTCCATGCTTCTTCCCTCTCGACCATTATCGGGATAATGGCCGATAGGGATAGGTCATTACTTCCGATATCCTGAACTAGGATTCGGCGCTGCTCCGTCCAGGCAGGACAGTGTTGTAGAGTGTGCTGCGCCGAGTCACGTTCTCCATCACAATGGTGACATCTAGCAGTCTCCTCCTTACCTATTCGGCATAAGTAATCGCCGAAGCATCCATGCCCCGAAAAATCCTGCGTCGTGTGGAAAGTCCCCCTCATCCTCTGCACTTCCAGCCATTCGTTTAGGAGGGGCCTGATGGCGGCGACCACTCTCTGCCCAGCAAGGTTCTCATCATAGAGGCGCCTTTGCCATTTAATGATGAGGGCTTGCCAAGCTTGTTTCCTTAGCAGGACTCTGATCTTGTCAATAATTATAGTTCCCCCCTCTCTGAGCCTCTTTGTACGCTGATAGACCTCAGCGTACATCTGAGCCAGAAGTTCGAAGGGGGGAATTCCTGCCAGGATCAGCACCGCCTCGTACGCCACCGTTCTGTATGCCCGTGCAACTTCGATGGCCATCCGCCGCTGCACCTGGCGCATGAGCTGTTTGTTGCTACGAACGGCCATCGCACTCCCAGCCCACACAGGGGCCCCATACGTTGCCACTGCATGCACAGTGGCTGTATATAATCGGCGGGTGTGTCCGCCAGGCCCTCCAATGTTTGGTAACAGCCTTCTGAGGGCTGCTGCTACACCGTTCACTTTAGGGGCCAGCCGAGTAAAGTGCTCGGTGAAGCTCTATGTGCCGTCGATGTGTAGGCCCAGGTATCTAATATGGTCCCCCACCATAACTCGGGTTCCTCCACAACAATGTGAGCCACTGGTGGGGCCCCACAAGAGCCGTCATGCATATAGACTGCTTCGGTTTTGTGGGGCGCCACCCGGAGCCCCATCCCTGAGATGGTTTTCACGGCACAAGCCGGGGCCACGTTGGCAGCCGCAGCTGCTTCCTCCCAGCTATTCACCCGGATAATATTAGTGTGTCGTCTGCATAACAGACTACACTACAGCCGGGGGGAAGTGCTGTTCTCAGCACCACATCGAATGCAAGATTCCACAGTAGCGGGCCCAAGACAGATCCCTGTGGAACCCCGCATGTCATATCCCTTTCCTGCGTTATAGCCTCTCGGTCAACATACGTTATCCTCCTGTCGCGGAAGTAGTCCCCTATCACCGCTACCAAGTACGGGGGAACTCTGTGATATTGGAGTGCGCTACCAACCCTTTCCCAGGGGAGTGAGTTAAAGGCATTGGCGATATCTAGGGATACCGCCATTGCCACTCCCCCGTCCGCTATAATGGCCTCCGACATTGTTCGGACGCGTAGGATAGCATCTACTGTTGACCTCGCCCGCCGGAATCCATATTGGCCTTCACTTAGATCGGGGCCCTCCCCGGACAGATGCTGGACGAGACGGTCCGCAACGATCCTTTCCAGCATCTTTCCCGTTTCGTTCAAGAGGGAGAGTCCGCCGGTTTGCCCGGCTTTGGAAGGAGTACTATCTTTGCTTCTTTCCAGTTAGTCGGGAAACGTCCGTATCTGAGGCAATCAGTGTAAATCCGGCTGATTCGTCCTCCAAGCTCTCCAGAGGCCAGGGCGATGACTTTGCCTGGGATGCCGTCTGGGCCTGGGGCTTTGCGTGTTCCCAGTCTCTTTACTGCAGTTCTCAGTTCCTCCGGAGACACCTCCAATTCTTCTCTCCACTCTACTTGCTCCACCACAGGGACTGGATTGTTTCCAGGGTCCCTGGTCGGGAAAAGCGTGGTGAGGACGTTGTCCAGGAACTCAGGGTCCATTGCCTCTGTCGTAGGGGGCGCCCAGTGCCTTAGTTTACTGAGAACTATGCGATATGCACGCCCCCACGGGTCTTCATCCAGGGTCTGGAGGAGCTCGTTCCAGGCCTTGGCCTTTGCCGCTCTTGTGGCCTTTACCAAGGCGTCCCTAGCCACCCGATACTCCATGTATCTTTCCTCTGCTTCTTCGTCAGAGGCACTCCTTCTTTGACGGGCTCTAGTGTAGGCCCTTCTGGCCCTTACCGATGTTCTGCGTAGCGATGCGATTTCGTCTGACCACCAGTAAGCGGCGCGCCGGGGGGAGGGCTTTGCGCGAGGCATTGCAGCATCACAGATCTCTGTTAGCACTTCCTCCAACCGTGAGGCCTGCCAGTCAATGTCTCTCTCCTCATCGTCCTCTCCTGTCCACGTACTCGAGAGTATCGCGGTCTTAAGGAGGTCCTCATCCATCTTTTGAAGGGTCCATTTCTTTGGACGTGCCCCCGCCGCTTGGCGGCGCCTGAGCACTTCCGGAGTGATGGCTGCAATCGTCATCTCAATATAAAGGTGGTCAGACGCCGTCTCCTCTTCCAACACCTCCCATCCACTTACCAGGTGGACCGCAGAGGGAGTCGCTCACGTCAGGTCGACGATAGACTCTCCCTGCGGTCTTACGCAGGTACTCCTTATGCCCTCATTTAATATGCATAGGTTCAACGCTGTTGCCCAGTCCTCCAGTATTCCGCCTCTACGGTTGTTCACCAACGAACCCCATAGGGCCGATTTTGCGTTAAAGTCCCCCGCTATTATGGTAGGTCGCGGGAGGCATCTGTTAACACACTCCCCTATGCTCTCTAGCCTATCCTCAAATGTGGCTAGGTTGAGGTTTGGAGAGATGTATACCCCGATGACCGATATCCGGCCCCACTGCACCGCCACGTACCCATCTCCGCTCTCCATTCTGGAACCTGGCGGGGAGTTTTTATTTCCCATCCACGTTATTGCCACAGACTTTTCCTGGTCAGTAGCCCAGCAGGGATGGTTGTCTGGGACTGAATAAGGTTCTGCGGCAATACCTATTCCACAACCACGTTCCATCAGGCTGTGCAAGAACAAGTCCTGGGCCTGACGTGCGTGGTTGAGGTTTGCCTGGAGGATCTTAGTTGTCATTGCTGCTGTATGACAGTGCTGCCTTTGGCACCACCTCCATCGGCTGGGCTTCGCCTTCAGCCGTTTTCTGAGATGTTTGAATCTCCGTTCTTCTGTTCCTCCTCAGTGCCAGGGGAGGTTGACTTTCCGTCACCTTCTCGTTGCTCACAACTCTGATCCTAGAAGGGCCAGCGTTGGCAAGAATATTTGGGTCAACCTTGGTTTTTGGTGCGGCCGAAGCTTTGCCTTTCGACCCTTTTTTTCTTCTTGCCGGTAGGCAGCTCTTACTCCCAGTGCGGTGATCATGCGGCCTTCCCTGGTCCGCGCATACCGAGCACTTAGGCTTCGCCATACAGGTCCTTGCTGGATGGCCGTTCTCTCCACATCTATAGCATCTGCCACTTCGGTCAATGCTACTGGTGCAGGTTGCTCTTACGTGGCCTCCCTCAAGACACCGGAAGCATTGGAGGGGCCTTGCTTCGAGTACCTCCACTCTCGCCAGTGCCCAGCCTATCTGCAGTGCACCTTTCTTTATCGCGGCGTTTGCTGCCTCTAGCGGGCATCTCGCCCACGCCGAACCAAGTGCATTGCCCGACTTCCTAATTGGGCCCACGCTGATGTCCGCGCTCTGATATTTCCCCAGGGCCATTATGGCCTGGAGAATATCCTCAGCACTGGTTGAGTCGTCCAGGTCCCTCAGCCTAATCTCACCCATCTTTGTCGGTCTTGCGATCTTTACCCCTTCTTTGTCTGCAAGTATTTCTTGCAGTTTGTTTGCGAGAGCGTCCACCTTCGCCCTACCATCCTCGCCCGCGATCTCATATATGAGTGCACCCGTGACCGCTCTTTTGGTGCGGAGACCATCTATCTTGAGGTCCGAAAGCTTTATTTTGCTTCGTGCCTCAAGTATAGTCTTCTCGTACTGCCCTGGTGGGCAAGTCACCGTGACTGCCGCGGTCTTCGGCAGTTTCCTTACCTATTCCACAACCACGTTCCATCAGGCTGTGCAAGAACAAGTCCTGGGCCTGACGTGCGTGGTTGAGGTTTGCCTGGAGGATCTTAGTTGTCATTGCTGCTGTATGACAGTGCTGCCTTTGGCACCACCTCCATCGGCTGGGCTTCGCCTTCAGCCGTTTTCTGAGATGTTTGAATCTCCGTTCTTCTGTTCCTCCTCAGTGCCAGGGGAGGTTGACTTTCCGTCACCTTCTCGTTGCTCACAACTCTGATCCTAGAAGGGCCAGCGTTGGCAAGAATATTTGGGTCAACCTTGGTTTTTGGTGCGGCCGAAGCTTTGCCTTTCGACCCTTTTTTTCTTCTTGCCGGTAGGCAGCTCTTACTCCCAGTGCGGTGATCATGCGGCCTTCCCTGGTCCGCGCATACCGAGCACTTAGGCTTCGCCATACAGGTCCTTGCTGGATGGCCGTTCTCTCCACATCTATAGCATCTGCCACTTCGGTCAATGCTACTGGTGCAGGTTGCTCTTACGTGGCCTCCCTCAAGACACCGGAAGCATTGGAGGGGCCTTGCTTCGAGTACCTCCACTCTCGCCAGTGCCCAGCCTATCTGCAGTGCACCTTTCTTTATCGCGGCGTTTGCTGCCTCTAGCGGGCATCTCGCCCACGCCGAACCAAGTGCATTGCCCGACTTCCTAATTGGGCCCACGCTGATGTCCGCGCTCTGATATTTCCCCAGGGCCATTATGGCCTGGAGAATATCCTCAGCACTGGTTGAGTCGTCCAGGTCCCTCAGCCTAATCTCACCCATCTTTGTCGGTCTTGCGATCTTTACCCCTTCTTTGTCTGCAAGTATTTCTTGCAGTTTGTTTGCGAGAGCGTCCACCTTCGCCCTACCATCCTCGCCCGCGATCTCATATATGAGTGCACCCGTGACCGCTCTTTTGGTGCGGAGACCATCTATCTTGAGGTCCGAAAGCTTTATTTTGCTTCGTGCCTCAAGTATAGTCTTCTCGTACTGCCCTGGTGGGCAAGTCACCGTGACTGCCGCGGTCTTCGGCAGTTTCCTTATTTTTACACCGGGCTCCGTTTTTTTCTGTACCGACCCCGTCTTATCCGTCGCTGCCATGCCAGCGGCAGGTCTGGCAGGGCCGGGCTTATTGGAGGTCACTACCTTTTGTTTCCCTATCTTCTTTCCCCCTTTCTAAACCACAGTAGCCCACGTAGCGCATCCTGTAGCGCATCCGTGTGTTTAGTTTGGGGGGCAGAAGATGTTGCTCCCTTCCTTTCTGGGACCCCATTAGGCGCCCCAAGGGTGTCGGCCCTTCCTTTAGTACCTCTTGGTGTCTGTTTCACGACAGACACCGAGGTGGGAACGGGGTGGACTGCTTTACGCCTGGTGCCACTCTCCTCAGTACCTCCTTGTTGCTGTCTTTTGACAGCGACGGGGGGTGGGAACATGGGGAGCTGTGGTCCCGTTTCCTGTTCCTTTTCCCTTTCCCGTGGCCTTGTTCTTTGGCAAAGGAGGGTTAGCCCCCTGGTCCTTTGGCTGTGGTATTTGCCCCATGAACTTTCCAAGAGCTTGCTCCATCTTCTCGCTCCATTTGCTAAACAGGTTGTCCAGCCGTTTGCTAATGATGCGATCAATTACCGGCAATCCAATTGGGGAATCTTCACGGTCCTCTAGGACCT